GGCCAGTGAAGCGACGTCCTCCACAACTAGACTGAAGAACCAAAGGACAGCAACTTGTCTGTTCCCCTTCCCCCAATTCTCCAGCACTGTTCTCCTCCCCCAATTCCCCAATAAAATCTTTAAAACAAAAAAATAAATAAAATAAATATAGCCTGCTTTAAAAATAGCACCTTGAGGGCCAGCTGAGTGGCGCGATGGTTAAGAACTGGCTTGGACGCCAGAGAGCCCCGGTTCGGATCCCACATAGGAGGGCCAGTGACACTGTCCTCCACAGCTAAGGTGCTGAACAACAGCTCGAGCTGGGCTGCCGTGGGTCGCCGGTGACGGCGTAGGCTGCAGCCCCTGTGGCAGTGGGTTGCCATGGGCTACCGTGTATGGCCAGCAGCCACAGTGAGCGGCTGTCCAGAAGCCGGCAACTGATCTGCCTCGCCCAGGAAAAGCGCAATGATGGTGCCAACTTGGCCCAGTGAAGCAACATCCTCCACAACTAGACTGAAGAACAAAAGGACAGCAACTTGTCTGTTCACCTTCTCCCAATTCCCCAGCACTGTTCCCATCCCTCCAATTCCCCAATAAAAATCTTTAAAAAAAATAGCACCTTGAGGGGCTATAAACTATTCCAGCAATATTCTAAACTGTTTTCTCAAGGCTCTTTAAAACTGCTTTGTCAAGGGGCCAGCAGAGTGGCTCAGTTGGTTAATAGCTCCCTCAAGAGTGTGAGCTCTGAGCAACAGGGTCGCCAGTTCAATTCCCAGCCCGAGCTGAGCTGCCATTGGCAGGATGGCTCAGCTAAAAAAACAAAACAAAAAACTGCTCTGTCATACCTTCACCAAAAATGATGTCAGCCATGTTATCACCTGCCTTATTTGTTATGTTTAGCTGTTAACAAGAACACAAGTTTTAGTCACAACAACTTGCATACAAATCCTAGCTATGCCATTTCATAGTTCTATGATTGTGGATAAGTAGATTAACCTCCCTGAGCTTCCATTTCCTCAACTGTAAAATGGGAGGATTAAAGTAGAAAATGTGCACAACATGACATCTGGCAGATAGGAAGTGATGTATAAATTACTACACTTATCATAATGAAGCTAGACTAGAAGACACGGAGGCCAGCACTGTATCTTGTTTAAGGTTATATTTCTATAGCCTACTATACAGTAGCTACACAATAATTATTAATTGCTAAGCTCCTTAAGTATTTTTTATCTGTCTTTATAACCCCAATACCTAGATTCTGATATACAACAAAAGCTTAATAATGTTCTGAACAAATGAAACAAACTTATTTCAAATAAGAACAAACCCTCAAGCCTTGCTTTGTAGTAAAGAAGTCAGAATAACCAGCATCCGTAGCCAACAGTCCCACAAATTGCATTGCAGGCCGCTGCCGTATAAATAATTCTACAGCTTCATCAGTGATGCAAATGCTCCCCGAAATATCCAGTGACACAACATCAGGCAGGATATCTTTCTGCTGTAGCAAATGAAAAGCTAGATCTGATCTGAGCTGCCCGTGATCAGAAATATCAAGGTGAAGTAGATATTTAAGTTCTCTAATGACTGCGAGAATTTGTAGTTTAGTCATGGTCAGGCATTTCAGATAGTGCATGGTGAGAGATTTGAGTCGATCCTTACAGGTAAGGAGTGCAGAGATGTCAGTGACCAGAGTATTGGAGATATCCAAGCTTTCCAATTTTGGTAACTGAGAAACATTAGCCAGGTCTTCGCTATGAAAACAAACATTGAAAACACTTAAAATGCGAAGACCAGTGAGCTGACCAAAGAACAGTAGTCTTGAATCTGGAGGGGTGCTTGTCGAATCCAACAGGAGACACCGGAGGTTTTGCTGGATCCAGCTATTGCTGCCAAGTCCACTTATGATGTCTGGAATTGGGAGGTCAGTGTGCACTCCAGTAGCATCCAGTTTAATGAGTCTGTGATGGCAGAAAGCTTTTAGAAATGCAGCTGTAGAAATTTTAGCTTTTTGAATATTGACCAGCTTCAGTTTCATTTGGTTGCCTTGGAAAATGCTTGCTGTTCTATCAGTCAGCATGCCTGTAAGAGAACCAGAACCAGCTTGTAAAAACAACTTAATCTCATGCCTTTTTCAGGAGGCATTGTGGCCAATAAACTTTGACAGATGTTCATAATAATAATAGTGACTATATTTACTGCTTACTCTGTGCCAAACATTGTTCTAAACTCTTTACTCAGATATAATTTACTCTTTGCAACAATACTATAAAGAAACTATTTTGCTGCTGAGCTGCCAACAGGTGGCAGGATGGCTCAGCTAAAATTTATCTATCTATCTATCTATCTATCTATCTATCTATCTATCTATCTTATCTATCCTATCTATCTATCTATCTATCTATCTATCCTATCTATCCATCCATCCATCCCAGGAAAGCAAGGTCTTGCTTTTCAACAGATGCAGAAAAAGCCAACACTCTTTCTCTGAAGAAAACATTCAATAAACTAAAATAAAAGAGAGAGCTGGCCAAGTCGTGCATTGGTTAAGCATTTGCTTGGGACGCCAGCTCTGAGCAGCATGGCCCCGGTTCGGATCCCACATGAGGGCCAGTGGCGCTGCACCCTCTACAGCTAAGATGCTGAACAACAGCTCAACCTGGA